AACTTTCATTGAAACTTTATTATGCTCTGAAATTATTGTGTTGAACTGCAGTAATTTCTCTGTGTCTTCTCTCATACTTTTTCATTAATTCTGCTTTGTTGAGGCTGCCTCCAAACACAGGAGCTCTGCCTTTGTCACAAGACAAGGGCAAAACACAAACAAGGTATAATACTAAGCTCTTTAATGGAAATGCAGGCTAGAATGCAACAGAACAATGATCAATAGGAAGCACTTTGATTTAGTATTTTCATTATTGCAAATCATGGGGACTTGTTTACCTTGAAGCACGGAGGAACATAATTGTTTTTAATTATTGCCTAAAGAAAACTACTCAGTAATGGGATTCTTTTTAAATTTATCATATGTTTTAGTGTTCTTCTCCTTATGCTTGATCCAATTTGTAGGAGTACTAGTTCTTTTCCCATCTTGTTTGATTTATTTTATTTTAAAATTAACTTAACACTAAAAATAAATTTTTGATACACAGCTTGTATGACCACCAACACGATTAGAATACAAAATAGTTGCATCACTCCAAAAAACTTCCTTGTACCACCCCTTTATAGTTTCACTTCTGTCCACCCCAAACCACAGGCAAACATTGATCTATTTTCCATCTGTATATTTTTGTATTTCAAGGATGTCATATTAATTAAATCATGCAGTAGGTAGCCTTTGGAAACTGGCTTCTTTTACTCAGCATAATGACTTGGAAATTCATCCAAATTGTACATTCATTCACTTTTTTGCTGAGTAGTATTATATTGCATGGATATATCACTGTTTGTTTATCCATTCACTGTGGAATGATATTTGAGTTGCTTCCAGTATTTGACAATTAGGAATAGAGGTCCCATAAACATTCATGTACAGATTTTTTATGTGAACATATGTTTTCATTTCTCTAGAATAAATACCTACTAGTAGTGTTGCTGGATCATGTAGTAAATGTATGTTTAGCCTTATAAGAAACTACCGTACTGTTTTCCAAAGTGGCTGTGCCATTTTGAATTTCCATCTGTAATGCATGAGAGATCCAGGTGCTCCATGTTTTTGCTAGCACTTGGTTTTGCCAATATTTTTTATTTAACCTCTCTAATAAATGTATAGTGGTATTTCATTATAGTTTTAATTTGTAAATGCCTAATCTAATGATGATGAAAGATTTGCATTTCATGTAATTATTAATATATTATTATGGCTTGTTAGCCATTTTATTTTTTGGTTTCTGTTCTCTCATTTCTCTTTTATTTGTTTTTACTGCTGTCTTCTTGTGGGTTACATGAACATGGTCATTCATACAACTCCTTTGGTGAAGTGACTATTCAAATATTTACACATTTTAAAATTGGGTTATTTTTCTTCTTACTATTGAGTTGTAAGAATTCTTTTTTTCCACTAGCTTCCCTAATTGGTAAAATTTTAAACTTGTCATAACTTTTGAAAAAAAATTATCTTAGTAGATTTAGAGGGTACAAATAGATTTGGAGGGTTTTTATTACATGGATGAATTGTACAGTGGAGAAATCTAGGCTTTTAGTGTACCCATCACCTGAATAGTGTACAACTAGAAAATGTTGACAAAACAAATTGAAGATGGCACAAATAAATGGAAAGCTGTCCCATGTTTATGGGTTGGCAGAGTTAATACTGTTAAAATGTTTATATCACCCAAAGTGATCTATAGATTCAATTTAATCCCTGTAAAAATATCAATGTCATTATTCACAGAAACAGAAAAAACAATCCTAAAATTTGTATGAAACCACAAAAGACATTGAGTATCAGCCATGAGCAAAAAGGAATATGGCTGGAGGCTTCAAATTACCCAATTTTACAAAGCCATAGTAATCAAAACATAAAAATGGCATAAAAACAGACACATGGACCAATGCAATAGGATAGAGAGCTTGGAAATAAATAAATTTAAACACATGTGGTCAATTGATTTTCAATAAAGATACCAAGAACACACAATGAGAAAAGAACAGTCTCTTCAATAAACAGTGTTGAGAAAACTGGATATTCACATACAGAAGAATGAAATTGACCCCTTGTCACACTCCTTACACAAGAATCAACTCAAAATGAATTAAAGACTTAAACATAAGACCCGAAACTGTTAAACTTCTAGAAGAAAGCATAGGGGGAAAGCTCTATGACATTGGAATGGGCAGATGTTTCTGGTGTATAACGTAAGCACAGTTTCTGGGGTATAACCTAATAGCACAGGTAATGAAAGCAAAAACAGACAAATGGGATTGCATGAAACTAAAAATATTCTGCAGAACAAAGGAAACAACCCACATATTGGGAGAAAATATTTGTATATCATACATCAGATAAAGGGCTAATATCCAAAATATATAAGGGACTCAAACTACTTAATAACAAGAAAACAAAAAACCCTATTAAAAATGGGCAAAGGGCCTGAATAAACATTTCTCAAAAGAAGACATAAAAGTGGCCAACAGATAGATGAAAAATTTTTCAACATCTGTAATCATCACAGAAATGCAAATTAAAACCACACTCAGCTATTACCACACATCTGGTAGACTGGCAATTATCAAGAAGATGAACAATAGCTAGTGTTGGCAAAGTTGTGGAGAATAGGAAACACTTTTACACTGTTAATGGTATTGTAAATTAGTACAGCCATTTTGGAAAACATTATGGAGGTTCCTCAAAAATCTAAAAATAGAATTACCATATTATCCAGCAATTTCCCTCCTGGCTATATATCCAAAGGCTTTACAATCAGTATGTCAAAGAGATGTCTTGACTTCCATAGGCACTGCGGTATCATTCACAACAGCCAAGATATGGAAACAACCAGAGTGCCTATCCGTGGATGAATGAATTTTTAAAATGTTGTGTAGATATACAATGGAATACTATTCAGCCTTTTAAAAGCAGGACGTTTTGTCAGTTGTGACAACGTGGATGGAACTAGAGGACATTATGTTAAGTGAAATAAGCCAGGTATATATATCAAGACTATAGTCTTACAGGATCCCACTTATATGTGAAATGTAAAAAAATAAAACTAATAGAAGTAGAGAATAGAATGGTAGTTATCAGAGGCTGGGGGAGGGGGCAAGGGAGTGGATGGGGAAAGAGGAGATGTTGATCAAGTTATACAAAGTTTCAGTTAGACAAGAGGAATAGTTTCTGGTAATCCGTTACACAGCAGTATGATTTACAGCTATTATAAGGTGTTGTCCATTTCAAAATAGCTAAAATCAAGGGTTTTAAATGTTCTCACCACAAAGAAATGATATATTTTTGGGGTAACGGATATACTCATTTGCCTGATTTGATAATTTTCAATATATGCACATATCAAAACATCACATTGTACCCCACAAATATATACAATTACTTGTCAATTAAAAATAAAACTTAAAAAGAAATTTACCTACAATTTGATAAAAGGCATATAAAAATATATCTTTAGGAGAAAATTTTCTGGAAAAAAATGTAACAAATTTCTAATAGATGACATGTATGATGGTAGCCAGATTTGAGAGTAATGTTTCTTTTGAATTTTCAAGTTTTTCCAACATGCTTATATAATTTTTATTTAGAAATAAAATAAGCCATTTCTTTACTATTATTACATGAACTAAAATGTCTTCATTTTCTTTCTTCTCTATGAGCCTGGTTTCTCTGGACAGAGTAACTAAATTTTATTCATCTCTCATTCCTCAGAGGCTATTCATTATCCTAATCATGCATTTATCCACTGGACAAGTTTTTCTTCAGCATATTGCACTAGGTATTTGCAATAGACAGAAGGGATACAGTTATCAAAGAGAATATGTATTAATTGGGGAGAGTGAAAAGTAAAAAAAGCCAAACAACAAAAATCACAACCCAGTATAAGCAAAGGCAATGTAGACATTTGCAAATACTGATGTCTATAACACAAATGAAGGTTATCTCCCCCCGCCCCCAAGGAGTTAGAAAAGGCTTTGGAGAGAAATAAACCTTGAAGGATGAGTAGAAATTACTCAAGATAGTGACTTGTGATGGGAGCCATCCAGCTGGGGCAATAGTGGAGCAAAGTCTAGAGGAAATATAGTGCATTGAGAAGACTCTAAATAGTTCAAGAAGATTGAGTCAGTATGAGTGGTGGATGGAGACATCCTGAGAGACAAGCAAAGAGTCATATGCAGGGGACATAGCAGAAAGGATACTGTCTGCCATCCTTATAGATTTAATTATGAAGGCTTGAGAAAGCACTGAAAGATTTAAAGGAATCCCTTTGGCACCCTCTGCTTTTTATTTATCAAGGTATCACCAGCCAAATGTATTGTGAATTGTAAGGGCACAAGAATGAAGGCAGTGAGGTAAACAGGTAAATAAAGAGAAAAAATAACTACGGCCTTGACTAAAGTAGGGACAATGGGAATAGTGAAAAGGAGATAAACAGATAAAATTGGGAGCTAAGTTGTAGACAAAATCAATAGGATTTTATTGGATGTGGCACAGTAAGAGGAAGAGGGCCAGGAAAACTCACAAGTTGAAGACATGAGAGACTGAGTGGATTGTGGTGTCATTCCCCAGATGCAAAATATAGGAGGAGTTGTCAAAGAAAAGAGTTAATTTGGTGTGTGGAAGGCTGAATTTGAGGTATTTGTGGGATTTCCAACTGGAGACTCCCACTAGATCATTGAAACTATGAATCTAGACTTTGGCTTAGAGATTTGTCTAGGATTCCAGGTATGAAAAGCATTTTTATGTAAATATTATATGAAAAAAATAATATGACTGATTTTCCAGAGAGTGAGGTTGAACCATTTTCCTTGTATGTAGAGGAAGAAACACAAAAACAAAGCAATCCTGTACAACAGCAATATTTACAGATTGGGCAGGGAATAAAGTCACTGTGAATGAGTCTGAGGAATAACCAAGGAAATCTGGAATGTGTGAAATGAAAGCATACAACAAATGAATATTCACATGTCTCTCACCAGAAACGATTGACAGAGGACATGGAAGTTGGAAACCACACCACTGTGACAGAGTTCATCCTTTTGGGGTTAACCAAGGATCCTACACTTTGTGTCATCTTCTTTGTTATATTTCTAGGAGTCTATATTGTCACCTTAACAGGCAATATCAGCATAATCACTTTAATAAGAAGTTGTTCCCAGCTTCACACCCCCATGTACCTGTTCCTCAGCCATTTGGCTTTTGTGGACATCTGGATTTCCACATCAGTCACACTTACAATGCTTTTAGGATTCCTTAGACGTGGAGTGGCCCTCTCCATCACTGGCTGTGAAGCTCAGCTCTGTTCTACAATCATGTTTGGGACGGCCGAGTGCTTCCTGCTGGCTGCCATGGCCTATGATCGCTATGTGGCCATCTGCTCGCCCCTTCTTTACTCCGCCCATATGTCCTCCAGCGTCTGCATCATCTTAGTGGGAGCTTCCTACCTGGGGGGATGTGTGAATGCTTCGACATTTACTAGTTGTTTATTGAGTCTCTCTTTCTGTGGACCAAATCAGATAGATCATTTTTTCTGTGATTTCACTCCTTTGTTGAAACTTTCCTGCTCAGATATCTCCATGATTGCAATTATCCCTTCCATCTCTTCTGGCTCCATCCTTATGGTCACTGTGTTTGTCATAGCCATCTCCTACATCTACATCCTCATCACCATCCTGAAGATGCACTCCACCGAGGGGCGCCACAAGGCCTTCTCCACCTGCACCTCCCACCTCACTGCAGTCACTCTGTTCTATGGGACTGTTACATTCATTTACGTGATGCCCAAGTCCAGCTACTCGACTGACCAGAACAAGGTGGTGTCTGTGTTCTACACGGTGATGATCCCTATGTTGAACCCTCTCATTTATAGTCTCAGGAACAGAGATGTAAAGGAGGCTTTAAGAAAGGCAACTGTCAGAATGTATTCTTAGGATCCATTCTTAGCATATCAAATGATCTATAAAATTTTTATTTATTAGTATCACACTTAAGACCTACCAAATACTGCTCAATGAACTCCTTAAAATACAGTCATGTTTCTTTGCTCTAATTCTCAGTTTTAAACATTTGTAAACTAATTGGGAAACACCTTGACATCAGTAATAATAATAGTAAGTAATAATCACTTATTGAATTTTTGTAGATATCAAGCATCTTCAGTTTATTTTGCAAACACTAATTTTCACTTACTCTGTGCTAGGTCCTATTCTAAGCACATTACATATATTAACTCATTTATTCCTCACAACAACCCTTTGAAGTGTTACCATTATTTCTATTTCACAAATAAATAATCTTGGCATGGAGACATAACATAGAATGCTCAAAGGCATGCAGTTAACAACATGTGGGACAAGTATTTGAATCCAGTAAGTCTGATTCCAAAACTACTGTGCTTCTCCACTTAGGTTTCACAGCAATATTATGATTCAGGTATTATAAATTTTCTTTAATTTACAATTGAGAAAAACTGATTCTTAGAGAAATACAATAGTTTGTCCAGATAGATGTGAACTCAAGTCCTTTGTTTCTAGAGGCCATACACTTAACCTATATCAAACCACTATAATCAGTTTAATGGCATCAGCACTGCTATTAAGCTAAGGGTTTAGGCAGGGTAATCAAGTCCAACCTGGAACTTGTACCAGTATTTTAATCAGGCTCTACATCAAGATTGTCTAGGCTATATAGACTCTGGTACAAGGGTGACAATTGAAAAACTGGATTGATTTCCATCTTTTAAGAAATCCGCTCTTAACACCATGACCACATGATTTAGCTGGCAGTTTAACCATATTTTAACTCATGTTAGAATAAACAGCCTCATTTGGCATGTTGTAGTCTTTATTTGTGATGTCTTTAAACTGACATGGCCCGACTTGGTACTAGTACTCATTCCTGACACAAGGAACCGAGGACCAGGGAACGTAGAGAAAGACCTAACACTGTCATCTCTGCACATTTTAAGAGAAATTTTTTTCTAATAAAGTGGAAAAGTCTATGAAAAATGTAGGTGAAACTAAAAGGCTGTAAATATGTTCATACATTCAAAAAATTATGCTGAAGTACATAGTTTTTGAAAGTTGCTCTGGGTGAATCAATGAATGAGTGGTGAGTGGATGTAAAGGCCTGGGATATTACTATACAATACTGTAGACTTTATAAGCACTGTACACTTATTCTACCCTAATTAACCTTAGCTTACTGCAATTTTTTTACTTTATAAGGTAAATTTTTAAAAACTTTTTGCCTCTTTTGTAAAAGCACTTAGATTAAAACACAAACACATTGTACATCTGTATATAAATATTTATTCATTATGTCCTTATTCTATAAGCTTCTCTCTTTCTTTAAAATTGTTTATTTTTTAAACTTAAAAAGCAAAAAACTAAGACACACACATGTTAGCCTTGGCCTACACAGGGTCAGGATCCTCAATATCACTGTCTTCCACCTCCACATCTCATCCTTCTGCAAGGTCTTTAGGGGCAATAACATGCATGGAGCTGTCATCTGCTATGATAACAATACCTTCTTCTGGAATATCTCCTGAAAAACTTTCCTGAGGCTATTTTACAGTTAGTAGTTTTTATGAACATAGAGAGAGTACATGCTACTTATTAAAAACAACAATAAAAAGTATAGTATAATAAATACATAAACCAGTAACATAGTCATTTATTGCCATTATGAAGCATTATGTACTGACACATAGTTATATGTGCTAGACTTTTGTACAACTGGTAGTGCAGTAAGTTGGTTTATGCCAGAATCACTACAAACACTTGAGTAATGAACTGTACCATGATGTTATGACATTATGACGTCACTAGGCAATAGGGATTTTTCAGCTCCATTATACTCTTTTTTTTCCAAACAGAGTCTCGCTCTGTTGCCCGGGCTAGAGTGCTGTGGCACCAGCCTAGCTCACAGCAACCTCAAACTCCTGGGCTCAAGCGATCCTTCTGCCTCAGCCTCCTCGGTAGCTGGAACTACAGGCATGCACTACGATGCTGGCTAATTTTTTCTATTTTTAGTTTCCAGCTAATTTCTTTCTATTTTTAGTAGAGATAGGGTCTTGCTCTTGCTGAGGCTGGTATCAAACTACTTGCCTCAAATAATCATCCCGTCTCAGCCTCCCAGAGTGTTAGGATTGCAAGCAGGAGCCACCATACCTGGCCTTCCATTATAATCTTAGAGGACCACTGTCATATATGTAGTCCACCATTGACTGAAACATTAAGGACTTATGACTGAACATAAAGTCACGTAGGAATTTAATATTTCAGTTCCAATATTTAAATGGCAATAAAATAATAGTAGTCAAGAGCACGAGGCAGATGGTGAAAGTCTCCTTCATGCCAAGAACCCAGGGAGGGAACAAGTATTCTCCTGCTTTTGTCAGGACCATTATGACTGCTGCTTTTAGGCCTGATTGGCATACATCCAGGGGATTCTGACAAGTGAGTGTTCCTCCATTAGAGGCACAAGTGTCTAGAAATTGCGGCAAACCAGGAATGGAACAAGGACAGTGGTCACCAAGATGTGGCCTTGTGAGAGTGCTATAGTCATGCTCACGTGTGCTTGTAAGCATGTTCTTGTGAGTGTACACCATGCATGATGGTCTTTCTGTTTTAGGAGAAGGTAAGAATAAAATTTCTCTAATCATCAGCTTAACATAAAAGATGACATTCTTAGAGATAATGGAAGAAATTGATACAAAGGAAAACCAGAAAATAAACCCAGAATATAAAAAGCAATTCCAGATTCCTACCAAAGAAGAAGCCTGCCCCACTGGAGAATCATAAAACAATGAGAATCTGCTATACAACTGAGGATCATGAGCCTGCTATTTTTTTCTTTCTGGTAAAAGAAGCATGTCTTAGTAAAAAATAGTTGCTGCTAAGAGTTATGTGGATGACAGTATGTGGAGCCAACAGATGTGCATCTTGCATGTGATGCAGTCTGCTAGGCCTGAGCTCCGCTGCCCACACTCACTGGTTGACACGTCCATCTGGCCCGAGATGAACACAATGTGTGAGCTTGTAAGAAGCCCAGATCTGACTGAATAAAGATCCAAATGGATGTATATTAATTCTCCAAAAAGCCTATGAGACTTTCCTAGACTCAGTCACATGAAATAAATTGTTCTCTCCTATATATTTCCCTTAAGAGTTGTTCCTAATTCAGGATTGAACCCTCCTAGGGAGCTGTTTGTAAATGCATGGTCTATTTATTTACTCTTACAAGGATCCAAGGAGACTATCAGCAGAGAGTGGATTTGGGCCAAGAATCTTAAATGTTTTGTAATACACAGTCACACATACATAGTATGTATTGTCTTGTCCAAGTATCTATGAAGCTGCTGTTAAGATACTTGGCATCTAAAACGTTGTTCATCACAACCAAGTGGGCTTCATCCCAGGGATACAGGGATGATTCAACATATGCAAATATATAAATGTAATTCACCATATAAACAGAAGCAAAAACAAAGACCATATGATCCTCTCAATAGATGCAGAGAAAGCATTTGACAAAATTCAACAGCCTTTTATGATAAGAACGCTCAACAAAATAGGCATAGATGGGGCTTACCTAAAAATGATACAAGCCATATATGACAAACCCACAGCCAATATCATACTGAATGGGGAAAAATTAAAAGCATTCCCACTTAGAATTGGAACAAGACAAGGTTGCCCACTATCTCCACTTTTGTTCAACATAGAGCTGGAAGTCCTCACTATAGCAATCAGACAAGAGAGCAGAATTAAGGGTGTCCAAATGGGAGCAGAAGAGATCAAACTCTCACTCTTTGCTGATGACATGATATAATACCTAGAAAACCCCAAGGATTCAACCATGAGACTCCTTGATCTGCTAAATGAATTTGGTAAAGTCTCAGGATACAAAATCAATACACAGAAATCAGAGGCATTCATATACGCCAACAACAGTAAAAGTGAGAACCAAATCAGAGACTTAATTCCCTTCAAAGTAGCAACAAAGAAAATAAAGTACCTTGGAATATATTTAATTAAGGCAGTAAAAGACCTCTACAGGGAAAACTATGAAACACTGAAGAAGGAAATAGCAGAGGATGTAAACAGATAGAAGAATATACCATGCTCATGGGTTGACAGAATCAACATTGTTAAAATGTCTATACTACTTCAAAGTAACCTACAGAGTCAATGCAATCCCTATCAAAATACCATCATCATTTTTCACAGATATAGAAAAAATAATTTTATGCTTCGTATGGAACCAGAGAAGACCATAAGCAAAAATCAATCCTAGCAAAAAAACAAATAGGAGGTATCAATTTATCAGACTTCAAACTATACTACAAGGCTATAGTCATTAAAAGAGCTTGGGACTGGCACAAGAACAGGGACATTGACCAGTGGAACAGAACAGAAAACCCAGATATAAAACCATCCTCATATAGCCAACTAATCTTCAACAGCAGACAAACATACACTGGGAAAAGAGTCCTATTCAATAAATGGTGCTGGGAAAACTGGATAGCCACATGTAGAAAACTGAAACAAGACCCACACCTTTCACTTCTCACAAAAATCAACTCACACTGGGTAGCAGACTGAACCTTAGTGTGAAACTATAGAATCCTGAGAGAATATTGGAAATACTCTTCTAGACATTGGCCTATGCAAAGAATTTATGAAGAAGACCCCAAAGGCAATCATAGCAGCAACAAAAATAAACAAATGGGACCTAATCAAATTAAAACTTCTGCACAGCCAAAGAAACTGCAAGAGAGCAAACAGACAACCCACAGAATGGGAGAAAATTTTGCAAGCTACACATCTGATAAAGGCTGATAACTAGAATCTATTAGAACTCAGGAAAATGAGCAAGAAAAATCAAACAACCCTATCAAAAATGGCAAAGACATGAACAGAAA